CACAGACTCCCCATTGGCTCAGGCTTAGTCATGAGACCCTGGCAATGAGAAAGCTCTCACCCAATAAGGCGCCCTGTGGGGAAAGCCCTGGTCCAATAAGAAGGCCCCCTGAGGTTAAGACTGGGGGATTACCAGCCCAACCCAGCCGATTGAGCTTCAGGGCAAGAGAGGGGGGCACGAGTCGAAGCACAGGACTGCTCGGTCACCAAGGCCAGCAGCTTCTGTTAAATGGTTGCTACGGGGCAGGTATCAAACATGCAAGAGTCGCACACAGTCACAGTCATGGAGGGTTTTAAAATGGCAACAAAGAGACAGTTATTCTGCAATAATCTGCCCTGCTGAGTGCAAGTTATTCTTCAATAATCAAGAGGCGAGGAGCAAGCGGGACAGAGCTGTGATCACAAGAGCATGGTGCTGCATGGAACTACACTCAAACACACACAAGTCATACCACTTCAACCCAGACAAACTTGCTTTATCACTTCTACATACATATAGTTTATTTGTGTCCTCAGGCCCACACTTGGGGCCATTTCTGCTAAATCCAGACTTGGAGACAAAGAACATTCTATCGCCGTTTGTGTAAGATTGTGGGAAAGACTGCAGCTGTTTGCGCAAATGAAAAGGAGGAACAAGTGACAAATATAGGAATTTGGACAATTTGATAATACAACATATACTATGAGTACGTGAATATGTATGAATGTGGTAAAAGGTCTTCATCTGTCAATTATTTAGTTTATTGGATTAGACAAAAAAGCCATTTCTGTTTTATTTGTAAACGGTACTGCATTTGATTTCCAGTGCTTGTTTATTTGTTGTCTTGTTGATTTTCTTTTCTTTTCTCTCTCCTCTATCCACTCACTCCTACCAGTCAAGGCAGAAGGCCACTCACCAAGTCTGTCAGAGGTTTCTTCTGTTAAAGGGAGTTTTTCCTCCTGTTCGAAATTAATAAATCAGTCAGATAATTATTAGACATTGTGTTGAAACAAATGTATTAGTAATGCAATTTAGTAAGATTCAAAGTCTGCTCTAGTCTGCTTTGCTTCAAGGTTAGAAGATAATGTTGATTCTGAAACGTGTACCTTGACACCAGTTGTTTTCTTGTATTAATCTTGTTAGAATTATGTCTGAATGAATGTTTTAGTTATGCACCACGTACAGTGCCTTGCAAAAGTATTCGGCCCCCTTGAACTTTGCGACCTTTTGCCACATTTCAGACTTCAAACATAAAGATATAAAACTAATTTTTTGTGAAGAATCATCAACAAGTGGGACACAATCATGAAGTGGAACGAAATTTATTGGATATTTCAAACTTTTTTAACAAATAAAAAACTGAAAAATTGGGCGTGCAAAATTATTCAGCCCCTTTACTTTCAGTGCAGCAAACTCTCTCCAGAAGTTCAGTGAGGATCTCTGAATGATCCAATGTTGACCTAAATGACTAATAATGATAAATAGAATCCACCTGTGTGGAATCAAGTCTCCATATAAATGCACCTGCACTGTGATAGTCTCAGAGCTCCGTTTAAAGCGCAGAGAGCATCATGAAGAACAAGGAACACACCAGGCAGGTCCAAGATACTGTTGTGGAGAAGTTTAAAGCCGGATTTGGATACAAAAAGATTTCCCAAGCTAAACATCCCAAGGAGCACTGTGCAAGCGATAATATTGAAATGAAAGGAGTATCAGACCACTGCAAATCTACCAAGACCTGGCCGTCCCTCTAAACTTTCAGCTCATACAAGGAGAAGACTGATCAGAGATGCAGCCAAGAGGCCCATGATCACTCTGGATGAACTGCAGAGATCTACAGCTGAGGTGGGAGACTCTGTCCATAGGACAACAATCAGTCGTATACTGCACAAATCTGGCCTTTATGGAAGAGTGGCAAGAAGAAAGCCATTTCTTAAAGATAGCCATAAAAAGTGTCGTTTAAAGTTTGCCACAAGCCACCTGGGAGACACACCAAACATGTGGAAGAAGGTGCTCTGGTCAGATGAAACCAAAATCGAACTTTTTGGCAACAATGCAAAACGTTATGTTTGGCGTAAAAGCAACACAGCTCATCACCCTGAACACACCATCCCCACTGTCAAACATGGTGGTGGCAGCATCATGGTTTGGGCCTGCTTTGCTTCAGCAGGGACAGGGAAGATGGTTAAAATTGATGGGAAGATGGATGGAGCCAAATACAGGACCATTCTGGAAGGAAACCTGATGGAGTCTGCAAAAGACCTGAGACTGGGACGGAGATTTGTCTTCCAACAAGACAATGATCCAAAACATAAAGCAAAATCTACAATGGAATGGTTCACAAATAAACATATCCAGGTGTTAGAATGGCCAAGTCAAAGTCCAGACCTGAATCCAATCGAGAATCTGTGGAAAGAACTGAAAACTGCTGTTCACAAACGCTCTCCATCCAACCTCACTGAGCTCAAGCTGTTTTGCAAGGAGGAATGGGCAAAAATTTCAGTCTCTCGATGTGCAAAACTGATAGACATACCCCAAGCGACTTACAGCTGTAATCGCAGCAAAAGGTGGCGCTACAAAGTATTAACTTAAGGGGGCTGAATAATTTTGCACGCCCAATTTTTCAGTTTTTTATTTGTTAAAAAAGTTTGAAATATCCAATAAATTTCGTTCCACTTCATGATTGTGTCCCACTTGTTGTTGATTCTTCACAAAAAAATTACAGTTTTATATCTTTATGTTTGAAGCCTGAAATGTGGCAAAAGGTCGCAAAGTTCAAGGGGGCCGAATACTTTCGCAAGGCACTGTAACAACACACACAAACACGTGGAATTCTTCATTTTGTTATGACCAGCTGCTCCAAGCCTGTGGAGCTCTAGATAAGAGAATGAGACGTCGGAGTGTCTCCAACTCGTGATGTTTTTATATCTTTTTGTGTAAGGGGTTAGGCCAAAACCTTATAAATATATTAGGCTCTGTGTTTCCGGGGACTTCTCTTCTCCAGCAGTTGACTGGAGCAGGGAGCTACCCAGATTGTGTTCTGTAACTTTTATTTGTGGCTTTAAAAATAAATCGGCACTAAAATGAAGAAAGACGGACTCCTTCCTTATTCAGATCTGTCCAATAAAAGAACTGGGGTATAACACTCCCCCCTGTTGCCAAGTGCTGCTCAAGGGGGATTTGTTGGGTTTTCTCTATAATATTGTAAGGTCTAGACCGTACTATGTAACATGCCCTTGAGATGATTTTTGTTGTGAATCGATGCTATGTACTTCATCACAATATAGAGAATTTTATTTCAGTATTGCCCAGCCCATGTTCTAATTAGTTTGTGGTGATTAATTCACTGGATTAACATTTTTATTATTTGAAAAATAAATGCTGGGTTCAAGTTGTTGGAAGGTGCACAGATTAGTAGATTCCAGTCAAACAATAACATGAGGTGGGTTTATACTTCACAAAAAACATTGTCAGGACTCCCAAAGTAGCAATGTTGATTTAATGCACAACTACAAGTGTGATTAAATGGAAGTCAAACATGTTTTCAGTTGGTTTTGGGCTCTGTCAGGGCTGTCCCTTGTTTACAGTTCTATTTGTGATTTTTAAGGACAGCCCAGGGGAGGAGAATGCCCATGTTGGGGGCCTGAGGACTGCTTTTCTGCTCTTTGCAGATGATGTGGCTTTGTTGTTTTAACAAAACTGTGAACAGCCTGCACTGGGGTGGTTTGCAAATAGGTGTGAGGGATGAGAGTCAGCACCTCCAAGTGTTAGGCCATGGTTCTTTGTCAAAAATCTTCCTCCAATGTGAGTTGCGGCCCCAAGTGAAGGAGCTCAAGCATCTGCAAGTCTCAGAGTCTCAGTCTTTCAGGAGTGAGAATAAAATGGACCAAACTGAGCCTGAAGGATAAACTTTTGATTTACCAGCCTATCTATGCTCTAACCCTTACCTATGGTTATGTGGTTTGGGTAGTGACCAAATGTATGAGATTGTATAGCGGCCAAAAAGCTGAGTGGACTCGCGGTAAGGAGCTCAGACATCTGGAGACACCTGGAGTAGCGTCACTACTACTCCATGCCAAAAGAAGCCAGCTGAGGTGGTTCAGGCATCTTATCAGCATCTTTCTGGGTATCATCCACTAGAGGTCTTCTGTGTATGCCCAGCAGGTTGGAGACCTTGGAGTAGACCCAGAACATGCTGGAAAAATCGTGGTTTGGGATTATCACAAGTCATCTTGAGTGGCTTCATTAGCCGTCCCTGGTAGGCTAGTGGTTAAGGCACAGCGCTCTCGCCGCTGCGGCCCGGGTTCGAATCAGGGTTGTGTCAGGAAGGGCATCCGGCGTAAAACACGTGCCAAATGTCAACATGCGAGTCATCAGTGTGATGATTCGCTGTGGCGATCCCTAAACAGGAAAAGCCGAAAGTGAGTTTCTATCTTGAGTGGCCTCATTCATGTTTCCAGCCCTCACGTTTCTGGTGTAATGTGGTTGGCCATGCAGTTAACATAGCCTGCTCTACTTTAGCATCAATTTCTATCATCACTGTGAACCTCATCAAATAAATTGTTTTAAGTGTGGGTTAAAGATATTCAAATGATAGGGCAAATATATTGAAGGATACAAGGATTCATTGATAGGGTGCAAGCAAGTATATTTTCAAATATCTATTTGGCAAAGTCTCATAATGGGTGAAGAAACAAAGTGAAGTTGATTTTAAACTAAGCCAAACTACAGACTGACTGAATAACTGAATAAAGTTGGAATAAAATAGTTGAATAAGAAACTTATTGTATTTGAATATTGATTTGTCTGTATATTGTAATTCAAGAATATATTTCATCACTTATTTTAATGTCGCTTTAGGAAAATAATTCATATTTCTTATTTGATTAATTCCTATATTGGTATTTAGATTTTTGGATATATCGCATTTGAAATATCATTGTCCACATTAGAGAAAACACATTTCATGTGTTCATTTTGATTCTCTTTTGAACTTCCACCATCTCTCTCTCCTCCACCAGGTTGGAGTGTGTGTGCAGTCTGGGCTCAGAGTTTCGCCGTGGGGCCGGTGTGTTGGACATGGTGTTTGAGTCTCCATTCCAGCTCTTTACCTGTGGCTATGATACCTTCATTCGACTGTGGGACCTCCGACTCAGCCCACGGTATGCCACTATCTCTGTTTTGTTGAGATCAACTTGAACACTCAGTGCAACTATCAGTGCTTTTTAGGAATTAATTTTGAGTCCTTTAATACACATTACATTCTGTAAATCTGCAACAATTAAAATATTGTAACCAATGGTCCTGTTACACATTTAGCTGCAGATTACATCAATGAATGTCATCACTTTAAATGATTTTTTTTATTCTTCCCATTTTGCCCCAGTCACATGATAGAACCTTATCAACACACCCACTCCAACACTGAATTCTCCTGACTATACGCTGCTGTATTCTCACATGGGCTTACTCCAGCTCACTCTGTCCTTACACAGACTTCGTACTAGGAGGCTGTCAGAGTAAAGCCTCCTTAAGGTCCGGGTTGACTGAATCGGACATTTGCGTTCTCATGTACAGCTCCTCTTGAGTAATGTCTAGAGAATTTCAGGGTTCCAGTGCTTGTCTGAAAAGGGCTTAAGTGTATCAGGGTCTTGTTCGTGTTGAAAGATGCCAATTGAGGTGGTTCGAGCATCTGATCAGGATCCTCCTAACCATATTCCAAACAGTGGCAGACCCCCGGGACACCCAGAACTTGCTGGGTAGATAATATCATCTTGCCTGGGAACACTTCTATATCCCCCAAGAGGAGCTAGAAAATGTTGCTTGGGAGAGGGACATCTGGTCTACCTTGCTTTTCCTGGTGCCAGCATGACCCATCCCCAAATAACTGGCATAAAATGGACAAATGGAAAATACTTGGAGAAAATGTTATGGTGTGATTAACATCACTTTTAAACATAACCTTTATATTTTTTTAAATAATTGAATGCTACAGCAGACAAATGATGAATATACAGTAAGAGGTCTAGTAAGCCATGGTAGTATGTTATGTCTGGAGTCACAATCATTCTACATCATAGACTGCATATGGACACACAAAATATGGACTGTGTGGGAAAATATTTGGCATTTGGACCAGGGATTGATTTATCATGTTATATCACAGGTGTCATGTTTGCTGAAAGTAGTGTAATCAACTAACCCGTGCTTCAGCACAAAGATAATGAGCTAATTAATTTCAGTATTTGTGGTTTTTGGCCCTCACTGAAGCATTACAAACTGCTTTCTCATGCATGCACTTTCTTGTCTCATTTGTTTCACACCCTCTTGAGAACTGCAGCCTAATGATGGAACAAAAAATATATTTTTGTTTTATGTAAGGCTGTAGCCTCCCTCTGTCTCTACAGTGATGTGAACTGCCTTCAGTGAGATAATAAAATTCCAAGCCTCCTGTTTTATTTCCAGCAGTGTGAGTAAAGGGATCTAAAAAGCAGTCCTTTGTGGTGTCCATATTAATGCAACAGCCCTCACTTCAGTATATGTCGGCAGGGTCCCTAATATGATTGAGGAGGGCAGCATTTATTTTGGACAGCAGGGGTTAGAGGGGTTTCAGGCTGTATTTCAGAGGGATCAGTCAAGCAAGACAAATCAGATGTGATTGGCCGATCGATCTGGGGACTTTAAAAGGGGTTGGGTTGGGGTGATGCTTGGCAGAGGGGGGTCCCTCTTTAGGTATCAATAATTTAGTCAGTCAAACCTAACCAGCCTCAAAAGACTCCTAGGGTCATCCAGGAGGTTCCCGGCTATCTGGAGGTGGGGCTCAATGCCAAAGGCTGTGATAGACAAAACTTAACTACAGATTCTTTATGTTCCTTTATGATCCATGGTGCTTTGTAGAGCTAATGAATAATCAGTTTGATTATGAACTCTAGCTGTTGTCATCTCTCCTGTAAGAGCAATACATTGTTGGAGTGAGTGAAACTCAGTTAAGAAACACTTCCTTGTGCTCTGTCCATCTGACTTAAAGGATTGTTAGACTACAGGTGAGACAAGGAGTTGTTTCAACACAACCCACATTAGTTGCGTAAAAAAATATATATATACCGTATATGTGTGTGTGTGTGTGTGTGTATGTGTGTGTGTGTGTGGGTTTGTCTTTATATACTTGTGCGAACCAACCCCTGATGGAATACCTTTCTTGTGTGGACATTTCTTCTTGTGTGGACCTTTTGGGTGGTCCACACAAGGAAAATGCTAGGATAGGCTCCTTTCATTCTAAAGAATGATCTGTCTAAGTTTCAGAAGATGTCCACATACAGAGAGTAAAGTCAGAAAGATGTGTGCCAGCTTGTGCTCTAAAAGTATCATGCTCTGATTAAATACTGCTTAAGCTGAATTCATGCAATACTGCCTGTGTCTCTAAAGGGCGCAGACAGGGCAGCTTAGAAGTGGGTGGTAATGAAACAATATCACACCACACAAGGGTTAAATACACTTCACACTGGCAAAATTAAAAACCACAAAAACCACATGCTTCCATCTCTGTAATGCTGTGGTTTAGGTTAACCAGGAAAGTAAGATGGGACAGTTATGAAAGATCTGCTGAAATCTGGTGATATAACATGCATTGTTTTGGTGCTTTTGTGACAGAAGGTCCAGTTCACCAAATCTGTTTGGCAACAGGCTCCGGTCCTCACACGTGTAGAAGAAAAAGATTTTTTTTATTTCAAGTTCTCTGAATTCTGAAGTGACATTTTGATTCTCTATTGCCAACTCATGATAGATTTGTGTTTTGCGCCATTGTAGCTATAGTAGAAGTGGTGGCCCTCACAAAGAAGTCACAGAACGTGGGCGACACAAAGGCATAAAGACATGTATGTATGTATGTGTGTGTGTGGTGGTTCTTGCGTGTGTGTGGTTCTCGTGTGCATGTATGTGAATGTTCACAGGCTTGTGATTTGAAGCTTTTCTGGATTTCCTAGTCCTAATTTCTTCGTGTTGATTTGTTCCTGGACTGATTTATCGATAAAGTCTCCCTGATTGTGATGCTTATCCACACACACACACACACACACACACATTTTTCTCTTGATTGATCACACTGATAAAAAACCAGCTGATTAAACTCTTACACACAAACATGATGACACATGCACAGACAACAATTTGCATCAGAATGACATACAGAGACATTTGCTATGGCAACAAGCAGGTGATAATTCATACATGAAGGTTATCATCTTTCCTCTTTTCACTCATTTTTATTCTCTTTCATCTCTTTTTTTTATCTTTGTTAGTCTCTGTCTTTGCTCTTTTATTGTTTTACATCTTATGGTCATCTCTTCCTTCACCTCTTTTCTTCTTTGCTTTCCTCTTTTTGTCCTCCTCTACCATGCCTCTGCTATTTTGTTGCCCCCTTCTTCCACCCCAGTGTTATTTTACTCACTGCTCGCTGTTTTAGCTTTTCATCTTGAGGCCTACCTCCACGCCTTTTTCCTCCTTTCTTTCTTCATTGTGTGGATGCTGATTCAGCATCCATACTATGTTTTCCTGGTCTTTATTATTTTTCTTCCATACGTTTTTTGGCCCTTAACTACTTCAGCATACTTTCAGCCAGAAAAACCATTCAGGTATCAAAATGTTCAGCTTTTTCAGGACATGTGCGGATCTATTCAGAATTTTCCTAAACTTCGTACTTTTTAAACTATTTAGTGTTTTTCAGCAAAATGTTGCCCATTCAAATGAGTGGGGAAATTCAACTTCAGCATACTTTCAGCTATTTCAGGTATCAAAATGTTCAGCTCTTCAAGAACAATCATGCTTCTATTCAGAACTTTTGTAAACTTGATACTTTTTAAATATTTAGCTTTATTTTGAAAATCTTACCCCATTCAAATAAATGGGGAAATTCTACTTCAGCATACTTTCAGCTATTAAAATGTTCAGCTCCTTAAGGATATTCATGCTTCTATTCAAAAATTTTCTAAACTCCATACTTTTTAAAATATTTAGCTTTATTTTGAAAATCTTGTCCCATTCAAATTAATGGGAAAATTCTACTTCAACATACTTGCAGCTATCAAAATGTTCAGCTCCTTAAGAAAATGTTCTGCTCCTTAAAGACATTTATGCTTCTATTCTGAATTTTTCTAAACTCCATACATTTTCAAATATTTAGCTTTATTTTGAAAATTTTGCCACATTCAAATGAATGGGAAAATTCTACTTCAGCATACTTTCAGCTAGAAAAACCATTCAGATGTCAAAATGTTCAGCATTTTCAGAGCAATCTTTCAGCATATCAGCATCCACATGCATTTTCAACAGGAAATGCATTTCTCTAGTTCCTTCTCTGATTTCCCTTTTTGCTTTTTATTTTTTCATCTACTACTCCTTTACCATTGTGTTTGCCCCCCAGCCTATATGATTATCATCTTTTTCTCCTCACCCCTTTTATTCTCCCCTCCTCTCCTCCTTCTAACCCATCTTAGTCGTGTTTTCCCATTGCAAGTAGTGTCACCTTGAATTACCTCAGAGTTTCTAAGGGGCATCCCTGTGGGTTATTTATGTTCACTGTGTATGTTCCTTCCTACTGCCACCACATAGTCAAATAGCAGCAAAGGGCACAGGCATTAATATTCAGGGCCTTAATATCTCTGGGATCTGTTGGAGCCACTCTCCCAGTTTGGGGGTCACAGCCCCCAATGTTCCTATTACCACGGGGACCACTTGTGCCTTCACCTTCCACATCTTTTCTAGCTCTTCTTTCAGCCCTTGGTATTTCTCGAGCTTCTCGTGTTCCTTCTTCCTGATGTTGCTATCGCTTGGGATTGCTACATCTATCACTACGGCCTTCTTCTTCTTCTGTTTGTCCACCACTACTATGTCTGGTTGGTTGGCCATTACCAGTTTGTGTCTGGAAGTCCCACAGGATCTTAGCTTGGTCATTCTCAACCACCTTTGGAGGTGTATCCCATGTATATAACTTTGGGACTTCCAGCCTGTACTCGGCACAGATGTTTCTGTACACTATGCCAGCCACTTGGTTATGGCGCTCCATGTATGCCCTGCCTGCTAGCATGTTGCATCCTGCTGTTATGTGCTGCACTTGTCTGGTATGGTAGACCCCGGCCTCTATTGATCTTGTACTTGGAGCCTGTTACTGTGCTGCCAGGATTAGTGCCTCTGTGCCTTTTTTCAGTCCAGCTTTGTCCAGCTACTGGTAGGATTTTTCGATATCAGCCACTTCTACTATTTGACGGTGGTACATACCGTGCAGAGGTTTGTCCTTCCATGAGGGTTCCTGCTCTTCCTTCCCTAGTTCCTCTGGTTTCTGCTGCCTGAGGTGTTCGCTAAGCACGTCATCACTCGGGGCCATCTTCCTGATGTATTCATGGATCTTGTGAAATATATATTATGAAATTTATTGGCTCTGTGTTGTTTGTGTTTCCACTTAAAGGATGCAATGACAGAGGGTGACCTCGCCGTGGTCGTTTGCTAAATTTAGAGTGTGCATTTGTATGTATTATCTGTGTGTGTGAGAAAATTAGAGAGCATCTCTGCTGCCCCATTGTCTGCCCAGTGCATCTCCATCACTTATTGATGAACCTGGTCTATTGGAGGATCGATGTCTAATGACAGAAAATAACTATCCCCAAAATACCTGCCCTGTCCTGTAACCACAGCTGCCACCACCCAACCTACTGCAGTGTGCACACACACATATTGTATACCTCCTTTTTACATTCAGTACTGGGTTTTACTGTCAGCAGGAGATGGTGTTTCAGCATTGTCTCCAAACCTCCACAACATAGGCACCAACTCTTGCAATTTATATTGCTTAAATTTCAGTGGTCAGTTTGTCTTACTTTCACAGCAGTCTCAAAATTTTTATTTCTACATTTTTTTGACAATTTTCCTATTTTCCTTAAAGACCAACAGTTAGACAAACTACTGGAGGCTTCTGTCATGGGTTGGAATCATGACAGCTGGTTTCACTTTATTTTCTGGATCCAGTATTTTCCTATAATTCTCTAAAAAAGACACTGCAATTATGACAGTAGTTTTGTAGAAAGGTTCCAGGGAAATTATTATTTACTTAATATTTACTTGGGTTAAATTAGGGGTGGAGTAAAAAAAAATCTGACCTGTTGGGTTTGCTAGCCACAGTTCAGTGCGTATTGTATGTTGGCCTATAGTTCAGTTCATGTGAAATAGGTTGAGACATGCACAGAAAAAAAATCTAAAGTTATTGAGCAAAACAAACTCACATCAGTGACTCAGTGAAATGTAGCTGACATGTAGCATGAAATGTCCAGTGCAGCTGTCAGTCAAGTGAACAGACAGACTGACAGAGTTTGCTACGTATTTACTGGGATTTTATGCTGAAAGCAACACATGAGCTCAGGTCGTTAGAACAGTGGTCTGTCAGCAGTACAATGGAGTAATTGTGAGTGATTTAAACAGCTGTCTGCGGAGAGTTCTGTCTGTACTGTCAAACTTGTAAAAACGCGTCTAAAATAGTGGCTAAAACGACTTTACCTCATTATCCCAGGTACATCTGTGAGAGAGTGTTCTCTGGTAGAGCTCATCTTGCACCTGAGAGTGTGAACAAACATGTTGCAGAAGAACATGGATACAGAATGAGAGCAGTGTTATTTTGAAACCGTGTACAATGTGCTTTTGGGTTAGGATGCACTTCATGATGACAGTGGAGAGGTCTTTATGCTGGCTTATGTTCTTAGCCAGAATTTTAAGGCAAACATTAAACTTTTTGCCAAATAACTAAAAAGCATGTGTGTTGAAACTTAGCAGTGCCTTTTACCAAAGCCACAGTGAACCAAACCAAAAACCATGATGTTTTGTGGACCCTTCCACCAGTTCCACATGGAACTGGACTTGATTCACATTAGTACGTTACAGAAGGAATAAATGATCTATTATTGTGCAACTAAAGAGCTGGCATGTAAGTCTCATGGCATATAACATATGGAATATAATATACAGTGAGTAAGTAAACTACAGCGCGGAAGCAGGCTAGCGCATCAGCCCGGTCACTCCTGGTTCGAACACCTCAGTAGCTTAAAGTATGAGACTTCACTCCTTTACATACACTTAGAACAACTGGGGTACATAAGAAACAGTTCTCTGAAAACAGTATTTTGGGACAATTACTTTACCACCTGGATAATACCAGAGTTAGAACTAGTAATTTTCACTGCGTACTGCTTTGAAACTTCTACATATCTTGTTGGTACATTATCAAGATGAAAACTTTCCACACTATGTGGGCTTGCTACAACAAAACACAAAACGATCCTGTTCATCTCAACACATGTTGCTGTTTTTCCCAACAGGAAGTGTGTGATGGAGTGGGAGGAGCCTCATGACAGTGCTCTGTACTGCATCCAGACGGATGGAAATCATATGATAGCCAGCGGTTCGTCGTACTATGGTGTTGTACGACTCTGGGACAGAAGGCAAACAAAATGCCTGCAGGTATGTACAGTGTTTCTACAGGATGAATCAAATGACTGTGATTTGTTTAGTGTGAATTAGGTTCAGGTTGTAAAATACCATTTTATGTAGTGAATGGAAACTTGTTAAGCAATACACACACTGTAATGTTACTTCATGTTTTGTGTTTTCTTGCACAGTTCTTCCAGCTGAGCTCGGACCCAGTGAGCAGTCCTGTATACTGCCTAAGATTCAGCAGCTCTCACCTGTACGCAGCCCTGGCCACCACCCTGCACTCCCTGGACTTCAGACAGAACCCCTTCTACATCAGATGATACACACACAGTCCAAATCTTTCATTTCAATAAAGCTGTCTATTTTCAAAATAAACCTTTTCACCTTTCTTACTGATAACAAAAGAAACACTGTAGATGTAATCTGGACCTTGGATGAAAGAAGAATAACAAAATATTAAGAATAAGAATTCCTTGTAGTTCATTAAAAAGTTAAAAGGGTGATATAGTAAAAGCATTTTAGAACAGGTTTAGTAAGAAGTATTTAAAAATGTCTTTATGGTGACTAAGTATAGAGAGCCAGAGTTCAACTGTCTCATCCATTCTAGCTGCTGTTCCACCAGCTTGTGTAACTTCAGTCTCTCAATGTCTCTGATTGTCTGGAGTTTATTATTCATATTCAAGATAAATGAGTATCTACAGAGCCCGTAGTCCCAGCATTTAAAAACATAACTTCAATTTGTGTCATTACAATTATCAGTGTGATTCTGCATTTTCGTTGGGGGTGATAATGACTGTGGGCAGAGAGGAACTGTAACACCCTGTGAAAGCAAGCTGGACACAACTCATTTGTTAGACAGAGAAGCATGCCGGAGCCTGCAGGTAAAGGGCTAATCCATTAGCTTCAGGCACTGTGAGTACAAAAGCTCAACACATAAAAATCATATGCCCAAACTGCATGAGGAAAACACAGTTCAGCTTTTCTTCCCCAACACATTGGAGTGCCTGCCTGGATCCAACCAAAGCCCTTTGAAGGGATTAGGGCACATTAGCCTCTTGACAAACCCATCTCATCACTGTGGAAACACACCGTTGGGGTATACATACATTTGACCCTTGTACCTGAGATCACACACCGGCGGGTATATGAGTTTTTGACCTACCCAAATCCAGACCATACAATGTGAGGATCCATTTGATGGACAGAGATCATCATCATGTGTCTGGATTATCAAACCACACATTCAGTGCATCTGGTGATTCACACTCAGGAACAGGACAGCTGGAGGTTATGGCTTTATAGAAAAATAAGAAGCATGCAGTACTTCAAAAACAGTGTTATGCCTCTTTAAAACAAAGATAACAGCAACAAAGTAAATTAAAACCCTATCCTAAGGATTTATTGACTGGATATGAATGGCAATGTGGTAAAATGACAGTGATGTTTGTTAGCATGCTGTGTGTCTGCCAGAGACCTGCTATGAATCACAAATACTGAAAATTAGGACTCGGTAGTATTTGTATGTTTTTGACAGTGAAGCTGAGAAAAGTTCTGCTTCCTGCTTCAACATTGACCTCAGTTTTGAAAAGTTACAGAAATGGTTGACCCCAGACCCACCCATCTGACATTATAAAGGTAAGTGGGGGAAGATTTCCACAACTATCCAACAAGCTTAAGCAGGAAAGACCTACAGTACAGTATGTGCTTGTATGTTGCTCTACCAGACCCACTATGAGTCTGGGCCATAACCCTCCCTGCTGCCCATTAATGGCATATACGTATATTAGATCATATGCCATCCATTAACTAATATGCCAGGGCCACATAAAAGGAATGGCCAGGGTGCGTACAGACATTGCACACCCATGCAGGAGATGTGACCCCCCCAGGGACTCCGGACAGTTGAATTAATCATAGAGGCCTGGGATGGGGGCAGTCTCCACAACAACACACGTCACACCGGCTTTTCTGGATGGAGGATTTTCTTAAACACAATCAGTAGTTAATTGCTCAGCCAGGGCTAATAATTTGAGAACAAAAAGTTTTTAGTGAAAAACCATGGCCTCGGTTTGAGTCCACCCTTAAGAAGAGAAAATTAGCCCTGTGAATATAGTGCTTTAACATTTTAAATTGTATCTCTAGATGCAACTTTGTCATTTCCAGTAAAAGCAGGAGAAACAGTAGTGTTTTGGCCAGGATCATAGTACGGTCACTGAATGACTCAGAAAATTTGATACGGTAAAGAATTTTGACAATACTGCTGTGTGTTAGTGCTTAAGACGCACCTAGTACTGTGATTGCTATGCCCGTGGTTCAGATCTGACTGTGAAATATTCCCCTCATTTCCTGTCACCTATCAATATTACATGTTCAAGTAAAAGGCAAAAATGGGCAAAACCTCAGTGGGAACTGTACTTATCTTTTTTTTGTAAGGCGGGAAAACAACATCTGTGGGGTGCAAAGTAAAAAAAAATCATTTATTTGGACATAGAGAGATTTTTTACAACTTGATACAAAACATTATCGAATCAAAGGTGACTTGAGCTGCTTTCTTATTCAGACTGCAGTAGAGAGCTGAAATGAAACCAGAATCTCTGGGTTCTGTTCCAAAAGTAAGAAAAGCTCATTTAAAATCTCACTGATATTTGGAACTGTGCAAATAATTAATCATCTTGCCTGCCTCATTTAAAAAGAGTCTGTCACAGCTGTATTCAGTACTTCTGTTTTCAGTTGTGTGTAATAAAGACCATATACCGTTAAGGCCTAGACCTTTGTGGGCTAAACTTCATGGCTCAAAAGAGGAGGCAAGTCTGTGAGTGAGTGAAGGGGCAATTGCCAGTTCAAACATGTTTGTAATAACAGCATGAGTGAATGTTCTAAGTATTTTCAGATAGCAGACAGAACAGCAACAAAGTTGTGGAAATCTGACTTTAGAATACTTTGTGACTGTTACGGAGATGGATGTTACAGTGATGAAGTAAATGCTGCCAGGCCAGTACATTTTGAAGGGAGCTGTAGTTTTTGTATGCTAAAAAATATGCTTGTTGAATTTGTTGCTTTATTGGAGACTGTTTTATCCTAGAATATGAACATTGGGAACATCTCAGTCTCATTCTTAATGAGAGATTGTATCAGCTACAGAGGCCGGTGGAACAGATGCTGGCCTTGGTGTGATGTCAGGACTCAGGCTCTCTATGTTGCTTAGTATATTGCTGCCAGTGGTGAATGGAAGTTATGAAGTTTGTAAATAGAGACCGCATGACTATGTGCTTGATTTTATACACCTGTTGCAATGGGTCTGACTGAAACAGCTGAATCCAATAATTAAGAATTGTGTCCCAATACTTTTGTCCACATAGTATTAACTGCAGGTGCCTGTCACACATGGAAATCCACCATGTTGTGACTCTTTTAGTTAGCCTGTAATTTACTCCCAGCTCTTAACAAGACTATTACAGTAATATGAGGTGGTACAAAAAAATCTATGGCTGTTTTCTTTGACCATGTTCAGTGGAGCTGAATGGAGTGGACAGCTTCTCTTTTCACTGGATGTGAGGCTCGTTTCCTCTAACTGTGAGGCCAGGGGCTGGCTCCTGACTGCTGTGATGGCAGAGATAGACAACTAGATATCAGAAGTACCTCGCTGTATGAGGTTCATGTGGTTCCTGCACAGATGACTGTATTCATAGTTTTAGTGCAGTGTCTTTTGTCTAACCAGAGGAGCTTCAATTTGGCTACAGGGGGCTCTGTTGCTGTGACTAAGCAGCTGAAGACATTTTTGTGTCACTGGGGCCATCTGGTGTTCATATGGTAAAGTCCACATCATTATAGCTGGTGAAAAGGAAAAACTTGAATACACTCCTAATGTTGTTCTTATTTGTGCATGGGCTGTATTATTTTGATACAAACCTTTTTTTCTTTTGTTGTATTTTAGTATTTGACTAAAGATAGAACCATACAGTAACTAGACAATACAGTTCAGCTGTGTTTCCGCTGTTGGAGCCCAACAAGCGGTACACTCTATGCTTCCCCTAACCATCACTGGCATAACCTCACAGGTTGATGCAAACTGTCCTGCCTTGATTTTTCACTGTATTTCTCATTGTGCTGGTCCCTGTTTAGACGAGGGCAGGGCTGCACTCCTCACACTCACAAAATTGTAAAAACATTGTTGAACATGTCCAAAAGTGCCTTGTGCATGGAATTTAGACACAAGCTTAGTGCTACACCCTGAATGAATGTCACTTTCAGCTTTTTCCCGTTTAGGGGTCGCCACAGCAAATCGTCACACTGACGACTCACATGTTAACATTTGCACGTGTTTTACGCCGGATGCTCTTCCTAACGCAACCCTGATTTGAACCTAGGCCGCAGCGGTGAAAGCACTGCGCCTTAACCACTAGCCTACCAGGGACGGCAAAATTAAGCCCTTTATGTGATACACAGAATAGTGCAGTTGATTTTTCTAAAAGTTGCACAGTAAGGTCCCAGATTGTCCAAATACATTAAAAAGAATAAAACATAGATGAGAATATATATAACATATAGTATCATGTAACTTTCTATCACATGTGAAATATACAAGAAGATGTTTTTCATTTTCATTAAGGTCAAAACTCAAAGTGTTTATATGTCATATGCACAGTTAGGAAACGTGTTTCCCTGTACAATGAAATTCTTACTTTGCTGTCCACATGAATGCCACAAAATACAAATGAAATATAAAGTAGATAAATAAGTAACACAAAATCTAAGGCACTTTAAGCAGCAAATGCAGCAATATAATAAAAATATATAAGAATATAATAAGAGAATGTATGCTGCATGGGAGCAGCATGTGCAGCAGTCAACAGTCAATGTGCAGTTATGCATGTGCAAACTGAAAATGTAAACAGTACAGGTCGACAGTACATGACTAGGATTAGGATATGGTTCACATTTTTGTCCCATTTTGAAAGCACAAATGTGAAATTGATGTTTTCACATCATGAATTCTTACATTTTCAGATATTTTACATGTAATATGAAAGAACACCAAGTGACTATTAAGCAAGCTTTTTAAACAGTGTTGAACTGTTTTATTGGACTCTTCTTAAAAAAGAAACTATATTGGTGATGTGTTTATAATGCAGTGCTTATAAGAAGTTTTTAGTTTAACAACAGATCATGACTGCTGTATGTGTAAGGGTCACTCCCACCAACAGTACATACACTCGTATTCCTTAAATATCTTTAGAGAAATGTGAAGAGAAGTCAACTGCATTTGTGCCACCTCTGACCCCACACCCCTGGATACAAACTCCCCAGCCCCCATACAGCCTCTCACAGCTCTTACCCCTCATCTGTCAGTCATTCTTGGGGTCCTGGTGCTCAGGGGACCACAGGCCTGTCAGACCTCCAGCAGCCACTCAAAGAAATATCCTCCCTCCTGTCACAACCCACCCGTGCCTCCCCTACCTTACCCCCATCTCTCTCAGACCTGCCAAACAACAATAAAGTCACACTGAAGAGAGGGCAGCCAGGCCTCCTGATTTACAGATCAGTCAGTGGATACCTGATTGTCACTCACAAGGTTGGGCTCTTAATCCTATTGTTTTTATGACAGGATTACTCTCTGTGGTCCCTCTCTCCCCATGGCTGTGAGCGAGAGAAAGGCCAGATTAAGCGGATTAGCGTGTATCCTCCTGACTTGTCAAACTGGGATGTAAGGAACCATTGACTTTCTTGGGGACCATGAATGAGGAGAGGCAAAGAAGGGCCTAAGAAGAAGTCATGAAAGGCAGCAAACAAGCCAAGATTCCTGATGGGACAATGTCATTTGTTTGGTTTTGTTCCCTCAAACGGGGCCAAAAAGTTCAAAAAGATGGCCCTGAGGAGAGGGGAACTCCAAGCCAAGAGAGATGGAAGGAGAGAGGAGGCGGCACACAGGGAAGTTAAACTAATGTTTGGCAGACTGATTTTATGTCACTACAAATAAGGTCATGAGAGTCAATGCTTTCATATGTGCAGACTACTGTCATTCTGTTCTTTCATTCACATGTGAAGCAGTGATTGTGGTGAGCAGGTTTGCAGTGGAGATGACTTTGCTTGCTGTGTGTTAGTAAAAGGAGCAGATTGTTGAATATTTATGTTGTCTTCACTCAGTTAAATTTGCACAAAAAAACACAAGCAGCCCAAGATGACCAATCACAGCTCTTGTTGTCTTCGTGGGGCCACCATAGCCTTGAATATGTTATAGGGGGTGGACATCAGATAGGGTGCAGCCAAATTCATCAGTCTAATTAATACAGTGCTTATTGTGTTCAAGACAGCCTAATTTGGGTGTGCTGTAGCCGAATGGTCACAATATAAACCACTCTGGGGTTTGCGACGTCAGTGCTTTGACTCCAACCGCTGACAGCACTGTCGCAGGCCTCTGTCTCCCCTGTTTCCTGTCTGTCTCTCTGCAAGTGACTGAATAATAAAGGTCTGGAAAATAAATCTTTAGGACATCCAAACTTGTTTGGGATATAACAGAACAATCAAAACTCCTGAAATGATAGTATGGGTTTTTGAACCGCCAGTTAGAGCTGTATTTTGTGTTTGTGTTTGGCCACGTTCACACTGCAGGCTGAAGTGGCTCAAATCCGATCTTTTTGCCCAAATGTGACCCATATCCGATTTCCTTATGACAGTGTGAACAGCACAAATCCAATTTTTTCAAATCCGGCCCAGGCCACTTTCATATGTGATCCTAAATCGGATACATATCCGATGCTTTGCAATGCGACTTCAGTCTGAACGGCCATGTTGCATTTAATGCAATTTTTATGTCATTGAAATGCGACAAACATCACAATTCTACGCTGGAGGAGGCGAGGCCATAAGCAATATTTGTGCTCTCCTTCTTCCTGATATTCTTCTTATTATTATTTCTTTATTTCGATTGCACATTAACTGGTACATCGCTACGCACATGCTATCACGAGCCGCATCCATTTTTACTTTCACAAACACAGTACGCTGCGTCTGACGTCACGTCCTCTTCTGCGCATGCAGGTCACCTCAGGGCCGTATACCGTTCACACGAGACAGATGGCAGTCGCATTTAAATGACAGTGTGAACAACAGCACAAAAAAATCGGATTTCGGCAAAAAATCCGATCTGAGCATTAAGACCTGCAGTGTGAACGTAGTCTTTGTGTTTGTGTTTATCTTGCACTGACACTAAATTACTATAATAATATTCAGTTTGTTGGCAAATGTTTTAAGCTATTGTAGCAAAGTAGTTTTATTAGTTAATTAAATCTAAAAGTAGTTATAGGCAGGTTATATTTCTGAACCAGGGGCAGATTTTTCTTGTGTTTTCTTATACAGCTGTATGAATAATTTTACTAAAGATTATGAGAAACAGAGAGAAAAACATTTATGAATTAGGCCTATAGTCGCTTCTTAGCCTTATACTGCTTTGAGAAATCTAATGAACCTGGAATGGGCTGGTTGGATTTACTCTTCACTGATTGGACTCCTTGTGTGATTCTAATAATAATAACAATAATAACTATTTACTATATTTGCTGTATTATTTAATATTTACTTATAAAAAGATTTGGTGCTACAGGGAAACTGTAGCATGGCCTATAGCAACTATAATAAATGAATGATCAATATACAGTATGATGTACATGTCAGGATTTATATGTGTTACACTATGGATTTGGGCTGACTTTTGTTGTTCTGTGCATTTATGCATAATTGTGGATTTGTTGTCACTTATTGTGTTATAACTGAGTACTGATCTGTGCAGCAGTGACAACTGGACAGTAGATTTGACGAGCACAGGCATCTCCTTTCCAACTGTGCACAGGAATCATGAGCTTAAATGCAACTGTACTGTAGTTCATGGCCTCTATCCCATCAACACCAAAGCCCAGCATAGGCCTACCACTTGCTCTATAATCAGCAGTGAATACCTGATTAGCCTTCCTGACAAGACACCTTACTGTACACCCAGCTGAAAAGATGACCTGTCTTTGGTTCTTTCATTAAGATTTTTAATGAGATAGTTACAGATAACAGTTGTCACAGTATCTGTAGGACCACTGTGATCAGTTCAGACCAGGTCTGTGCAGACATCTGAGATGAAAATACAGTTTGAAGCAAAGACAGAGTGCTTGTGTGAGCACAGAGTGAAATTCTGTATCCAGTCTGTCTCCTTTGTCTTTTCATTACTCTGAAACTATTCCAAAAATGTGATCATAGCTGATCTTTTTTCATGGTGTTACTACCAACTAGCACTTAAGTGAAAGTATCAACACCACAGGGTAAAAATACTGTTATCAGTAAAAGTCCTTCATTCAAAATTTTACTTTAATAAAAGCACAACCATGTCAGCAATTAAAAAATGCTTTACCAGAAGTAAAAGTTCTCATTATTATGTAGTCTATATTATATTACTGGATTGTATTCATTGATGCATTATTGTGTAAATCTTTTAAATGCTGCAGCTGGTGAAGGTGGGGATAAGATAAACTACGCTATATGTTGTTTTGATGCTCATGTTTTGAATCTAATAATTATAATTTGGGTTGCTTAACATATGACTAGGCAGTGTGTGAATTTCCCAGTGTGGAAGTCTTACCTTATCTTACTTTATTTTGTATTATTAATCTGATTTGCAAAAGTAACTTTTACGTAAAATGATCAAATGAAGTAGTTGAGGAAACAGTCAATGTTTGCCTATGAAATTTTTTTTTTTTTAATCGCTGGTTGAGTAATTTATTCCAGCAAATGGCAATAAAGTAAAATGGTGCTAAATGAAGGATAGAAGGAGAAGCTGCAATGACATTCCTCAACATAAAATAGTTATAAGGGAAATTTGTTCTGATAATTCTTCAGCCCACTGTAGTATTAGGTCAGGCTTACGTGGGACCAGACTCACACATTAAATGAAATATTAGTGTCCATGTGGAGGATGAATAGGAAAAGTGTCACAGTTAGCTTTTTGTGGGTGCCAGCCCATGTAGGAATTAATGGCAATGAGGACGCTGACGCTGGTGCAAAGCAGTCTAGAGCAGTGAGGCTGTTGTGAAACTGGGAGACACTTATATAAGATTCAAAAAATGGCTGGTACCAGGAGGCATGGATTGGTACTAGAAAAGAATTTATTGTAATAACTCATTTGAGAATAGGTCACACAGGTATAAATTATACCTTGCATAAAATAGGTAAACATCCTACAGGTTAGTGTGTACATTGTAGTCAGGCTGAGACAATAGAGCATGATCTGTTCTTATGCAGTGCGTATAATGAACAACATGCTTGAATGATAGCTACAATAGAAAAAATAAAGATTAATAGTATGGCATTAGAGAGCTTTTTGGGCAGCAATTGCAAGAAAGCATATAAAATTGTTATTAGTTGTTTAACTGATATACTGTAGGTATAGGCTCTATGGTTGGCCACGGGTGGCGGTAATGCGCCATAAGCTGGTACGCAACCCGCCAATACACGTAAGAAGAAGAAGAAAAAACAACTGCAACGATTTGCGCATGCTCAGTAAACTTCGTGTTACACCAAGAGAACACAAGTGGGTGAGTGTAGTCATGTGATACTATATTGCGTGCTTAAAATGAAGATGTGGCTACACTCACAACAGTTATTCATTAATGCGCTGACCTCGACCACTACATGCAGTTAATTGAATTTACTGAGCAGTTGGTTTTTTTTTTTAGCTGACTCGGGTAAAGAGCGGCGAGTAGAGGTGTGTTGATATAGCGAGATGATGGAAACACTTCCTCTGTGCTGCTGCTGCTGCTGCTGTTGTTGTTCCGTTACCACTGACATCCGGAGCCAACTTTACAGGACACCAAGCTAACTGTAGTTTAGCTTCCATGTTTCTGCAGTTCTACCATTAGTATTAAGCCAGTCTGTTTGCAAGTTTTGTATGTAGGTTGTGTGCTATGGCGTCGTAGCATATGACGCCCAACTGGTACTAAGCCTTTGTTAAACAGTCAGACTCAATTAGTAACAATTAGTTTGAGGAAATAATCATACATTTGTATGAAAAAGAATGTACGCCCCTAGGCAAATGACATATTGTGGTGATTTACTAAATAGCTACAACAGCAAACTGTGATGTCAATTGAGCCTTTATTCGAATCTTAATTAGCAGTTTTGCTTGTATTATTTCTATTTCATTAACTTAAAGGTAAAAAAAGTAACTGTGTATGTTTAAGTTTGGGCAGCAATTGTAGTCCAATAATAAAATAGTTTGAGCAGTTAAATCACTTTAATCAGTATGGTGGTCCTGTCTACTGCCCTGTCTGTTTATTTTTATTTTTTGTTTTTTTGAAAGACTACTGCAAAATTTGGGCAACCCAATACTAAAATGTTGGTTTTTGCTTTTGTGATTATGGTGCAACCTTGTCTTCAAACAAATTTCACATTTGAGTTGAGGTGAAATCTTGCTGACTACATTTCTGTGCCTCTAAATCACTGGTAGTCTTCAGTTGGTTTTTGTCAGGGTAATATTTCTTGTTACACTTAGTGAGTAAACATGATCATAAATCTACAGTCAAAATAGGAGTGTTACCTAATAATTAATACAATAGATTTTATTTTAATCATTACATTTTATTTTAATAACTGTACATACAAAGACCAGAGTCATACAACCTGACTGGTGGTTTTGGATTTACTGAGCAGGTCTTTTCTTTCCAGAAACAGTTTGAACGATTAAAGATGACGACTTCATGGAGTGACCGTCTGCAGAACTATGCTGACTTACCGGCCAACATGGACGGTGTGGCCATGAAGAAGTATCGACGTGAAGCTCATCACAGGTACGCGTTTGTCAGACAGCTGCAAAAAGTATCACTAAAGCCCTAAACGTGGATCGTTTCCTTTGTTTCTGACATAACATGTATGGTCACACCGGCATCATAGTCAATTTACCAGTGTCTAATGTATTTGAGTATTGTTCAGTATCAGATATTGCAGATCACTGCCAATGCTACAGATTAATCATTTATATTCTCACAGTTTTTAAATCAACACTAGTTTGAAGACACTTAACATAGTTATGTTCCCACATAAAGTACTTTACTCATGCCTAGCTGAGTAATCCTTGTAGGTCGTGATGCAAACTTGAATCCTCTGTGATTATGAAATTAAACCTGTACATTTCTTAACTGATTCAAAGTTAGTAGGATCAAGGTCAGGCCATTTTTAAGTGAACCCCCAGCCATGAACTCATTTCAGATTGGAGCAGTGTTTTTATTATGACTTTAATGAAACAAAGTATTTTCAAATCAACCTGCTTTGTTGAATATGAATTTAATTGTCTTTATAATTTTTTTTATTATATACGGTAATGTGTACAACTAAATAACATTTTTAGTAAATATAGTAGTTTATTTGTCTAAAATCCCTTTAAATCTCACACATACCTTTCCTGACTCCCACACATAAAAAATACATCTACCTAAAAGTCCAGGCAGTATCAATATCCATTTTTAAAGCCATTCCAAAATGTTGATAATAGAAATGGAAATCTGATGAAATAGGGTGAAAAACACATTTCAAACCATCATAGTGCTGGTTGGGATTTGGAGCTCACCTGTAGGTCATTGCAGGAGGATGAGCAGGTAAAGTGCTAGAGGTCAGTAAAAACAAGACTATCTGCTTCAGTTTAGCTGCTTTTTAAAGCCACCATTTTCTTTGACACAAAATATATACAGCTTTAGGTTTTGGAAGCACTCATTTCAAATTAGTTATTGTTTCACCTTGTGTTTGTTGTATATTTCATGTATGTTTACTGTTTGCATTAATAAAACAAAAGTACCGGTCTAAATTGGGTGAAGCAAAACAGATCAGTTTCTGATTGTTGTTGGAACTGTGGAGCCATAAATCATTTCATTCAATCTTCAGAGGCAGGGCAGAAAAATAATGCATGCAGATTCTTATCCTTAATGACTGACTAGAGAGACAAAATTAAAAATGGAATTCTAATAGGTTTGTCCTCACTATAGTGTCCTATCTTCTGTAATGGAGAGAGTCTGCGTGCCTTTACGTTTTAATGATCTCCCTGGGGAGAAGGGCTCTGCCATGACAATATGCAGCTCTTAGGAGTTTTGTTTTTAAGCTCTGACTGCAGTCAGCTGTGTTGTGCTACAGGAAGGATGTACTCCCCTCCAACAGGGGAAGTCAGAGACTGACTTAAACCTGTAAAGCAGTAGAGCCGCAACAGTTTTTTTTTTCACATTTCTCTGTTTAGTGATTATTCTGTCAAATAGCTTTAAGTCATTACAATTACAATTTTTTTCTTTCTATCTATCTATCTAT